CTTAGAGCAAAAAATTGCAGTGAAAGTCTTTCCTTCTCAAACCATTTGTAGCAATTTACAGTCGAATATCCCCATAAAAAGTAACAAAAAGCATTAGTCTTCGAACTGAAAACGTACTGATTCTGATTCGGTCCATCGACGTTGCGCAGTACGAATTGTGAGAAACTCGTTCGGAAGCTCCGTCTCTCCATCCAGTAATAACGGCATTGCGTTTGCGTCGACCGAGGGATGACGGAGAGTGAGACGAGGTAGTTGCCTGAAAATTACTTTAAATCAGCTGGTTGGATTCAGCGGAAGCAGTCAACCTTGCGAAAGAGCGAGTTTTACGCATGGAAAAGCAGGTGAAGAGCCCCAAATTGAACAAACATTTCACACTGCAAAAATAACATTTATCCATAGAAAGCTAGCTACAGACGACGCCTCAGCCACGAACGGTCTGCTAATATTTTCAGAAGCTGAAAACCGTGAAATTCCGAGTACAATGGTATTACAGCTACGCTTGGGGGTTGCATGCAATTTATAACATTATTAATAACGACTTAGGTAAGTGTTATGGTGCGATATGTCAGTTGTGTGATAAGTGGAACTGAGAGTATAGCAAGAGGAACCGAGAGGCTAAATAGGTTTTCCTATCTTTACTTGGTACACATTGATTGTCTATCTGATTACTTATATCAACAAAAAAGCAGATGTAGACCTATTTTGGGTAGATAAGCCATACACAGTTCTCCGCGATTAAGTCATTATCTAGTACACCTCAATATACCACCTCAGCAGGCATTTGCGAAACAACACTATGCTTTCCCATGCTCTTCGGCACGTTTGAATGTTTGGTGGGCGGATTTATGCCGAAAGTTATAGTACTAAAGTACTCAAATATTTGACAAAGAGAATATGAAGCATACTCAATAATGTTATTTGTGTCATCTGTGAAATATCGTAACTATATGACGTGAATCCTTGAAGTATATTACGACATACTGAAGAAAATTCAAAAAATAACGACTGGAGTCATGAGTGCAAGAAGGCGCGTGGTCTGTTACAAAAGATCATATTCCATGAAGTTTTTAGGTGAATAACTTCGAATCAATCCAACTATCAAACTAATTCATGATTGGCTTTTTTTGAACTGAGGAGAAAAAAATTTTGAAAAACCCTTTCGTATAATTGCCATTCGGACCCAATTATACTCACGGCTTTCATGTCCAGCCGGGTTACTTCTTGATGCCAGAGATGAACATTTGTGGAGAACACATAACCAAGTGCGTCGAGGAGCCAATACGGGAAGCAGGAAAACTTTGGACTGGTTCAGTCCTTGCCACTCCCGGATGCCCTTTATGCAAGTGCTACAAAATCGCTTGTCGGAGTGCTTCTGTGGCCGAAATAAAGACATCCGCTTTGTACCAACAGAATGGCTCAATGCCTTCTAGTTGCCAATTTTGCCCTTCGTTGAGCGGCCATACCCCTGCTTGTTGCATCCGTATGACCTGCGCTATGGTCTCTTTTTCTGAAAGTCTCCTTCAAGTCGCCCTCATAGCCACGGGTAGCGCTTTTGCGGCAACGCTCTGAATAGCACGCGTATCCTCTTCTGTCCTTGCTATCACTACATCTTGGGTCTGGAACGGTCTTGAAGGAATCAGGCGAGATAGGGCATTGGCTTATCCAAACTCGTCTTCTGATATTCGAGGTCGTAGGCAAGCAATACCAGCTCCATCGCTGTAGTCTGTTTGCGGTGTATACTAGTGCCATCTTTTTCGATCCAAAAATGTGTAGCAGCGGTTTGTGGTCCGTAAGCAGCTTGAATCGACGAACGTATATGTAGCGGAAATTTGCGAACACCGAATATCAGAGCAAGTCATTCCTTCTTAATCTGACCATAGTTCCTTTCTGCTGCGGTAAGACTTTGGCTTGCATGGCAAACTGCATTCTCAGCCCCATCCTGCATTTTATGCGGAATTATTGCTCCATTGCCATAGTCTGGTGCATCGGCAGCTAGTGCAGTTTAAGGTGGAAATGTGTCAGGAGCAGATCCAAAACGAGAACTTCTTTGGCAAATTTGAATGCCTTTTGCATTCTTCTGTCCACCTGAAGGAAACATTCTTCTTAAGTAATGCCGTCCAATGATGCTCGCAATAGGCGCCTTTCGGCTACGAATGATCTAGTAGTTGGACATGCTTAGAAATGAGCGAACATCTGCTATGTTCTTCAGTGGGGGCATCTGGGGATAACCTCATTTTCTTTGGGTCCGGTTGGCGTCCATTCTTGGCTATAATGCAATCTAAATAGCAAATCTCTGGCATCAAGAATATAATTTCTGAGCTGGACGTGAAAGCCGTACTCCTTGGTCCTTTAACAATGCATCCAAATCTCTACGATGTTGCTCAAAAGTCTTTCCAATAACGATAATATCATCAAGGTATGCAGCTACGCCTTCCAATTTACTATAGAATGCATGACTTGCTGGAAAATACCTGGTGTCGATTTCGAAGGGTAGGCGATTGTAACGATACAATCCCTTGTGTGCATTTATTAGACCAGCATAAATTAATCCACATCTCAAATTTATAATACATAGTTATATCCATGATTAGCAGTTAAATTTTAGTGCTTACTTATCACCAAGTATCCTGCATTCAACAAGGTCCGGTATTGCGAACCAGTATATACTACATATATTATTATTATTATTTTCTATATAAGCTACATATTCTCGACGTTTTGTTCTAGATCTACAGGTGATGTTCGAATCCATTGACCTATCTGTTTAGAATTTT